TGGCACGGGATTGTACGTCAGACACCGTGCAATAAAATAGTTATTATATGGGTTATAAAATAACTAAATTTGCACGGCATAGCCTTCGGCCATGTAACCCCGTGCAAATTTAGTTATTTTTTACAACCCATACAATAACTAAAACTTATTTAGAAGCCAAACTTTCTGGCCAATTCTCTTAGAAAATCATGACCTTATATATTAATAATTATTGCTTCACTATTAATTTTTTACTGATCATTTAAAACCCGATCACACCATATATTGGATCACGTTACACGAAGATTACTTGGGTACTGGTATTCGCCGTGATAATTAGTCATATGAATTCATTTTTTAATTCATAAGTCTTAAACAAATCTCCGTATTAGTCAACTAATTCTGTAATTTTTATAGTATTTAATTTTTATGAATTCCGTAAACATTAAGCCACACTAGGTCTTTGTTTAATTGTTAATCACTGATTAATGATTGATTATCTTGATTTACCTAATCTTTATTATTTTAGATAAGCTTACTTTTTTTTTTTTTTTTACAATCAATCTGAGCATACAACGAGAATAATCACATACTGTATATCGTAAATAAAAAATAGAAATAGATTTAAAGCCTAAATGATATATTCTGTTACCTGCTGTGCTTTATAATTTATGAACAGGATCAAGGAACTATACTGCTGCATTCCGAGGAGAATAAACACCGAATTTGTTTTTATTTGTCCTTTAATTGACTATTATAATTTTTATTAGTTTAATAATTAATTTGTAGTAGAATTAACTATTGACATAGTATTTTTTGCGTCTGAAATTCAGCATCAAAATTTCGCAAATTACATATAGATCCTTAGTGCCCAACTGTACGCATAATATTGACTGTGCGTATTTTATAATTAGGTTTAAAAATAGATAATATTTATTTCATATACAGGGTGATTTTGATATTCCTCACCCACATTATAAAATTTTAAAATTTTACTAATAGAACCTAATAAAACCATCTTTAAGGTTCTAGCAAAAAATGATTCTTATGCAATTTTATTCTAAATCTGATTCTAATCTTAATTTCTTAAGAGGGTGAATAAATACTTGATTGATAAACTCAAAATATATGCATGCAAATTATTATTAGCAAATAGCTCCAAATAGTTTTTTTTGTTAAAATAACAAGATAAATATAATATATATTATTACCTAATTATGCATCTAACTAAACTAATTGCGTAAAATATAAATGAGTTTAGAAATTTTAATGTGTGCACTTCGTCTATAATTTAAACATGTGTACTTTGCGTATATATTGTTAATCTTTAATGTACGGAAATTTTTTTAACGTGCACTCCGCCCTTTCCGTACATTAACTTTACTGCAGTATTGGAATTCATAGATTACTAAATTTGAGTCGTGTGAATGTGGTTGCTTGATTTGGGAGTGATTTTTTACTTATTCTAAATAGTGTGATTCGGATAAACGCGTAAAGAGCTTTTTGAATTTTTTATTTTTTTTTTTCTGTAACAAAGACAGATATTTATATATATTTTAATATGATACTTATATGGTTATGTCTATATAAGTATATATATGAATGCGTATATACAGAATTATAAATGAGTTGTATATGAATATATAAATATTTTAAGAATGACATCATGTAAAACATCAGAATATTTGATAGCATTTATCTTTTAACTACAACTTTATCTAGTAGCCAACAAAAGATACCTTGATTAATGGCGCGGCTAGTATATAGTCCAGGATATGATTACGTGTAGTTATGGAAATTATGTTAATCTATTTGTAATTATATAACTATATACAATTATATACGTGTTATAGATAAAATTCCTTATATAAGGCGTTCAATTTCTCTCCTTAGTTTGCTCTTTGTTCTCGGTAATGAAAAATGTTATTTTCTACACTGACATTAATCACCCCTCCCGATTACGATGAAGTGATCTCTAAAATGACTGTTGGTGATTATGATCTTTATTTCACCAATCAGGCTAGAGAGTATCGCGTTATATACAATGGTCGCTATGTTATCTTCGACATTTCCGACAATAAAATCATTAATAGCCTATGTGAAGATAATTCAAAAAACGTTCCGAACGCATACATATTGTTTCGTGCAAAACTCGCCCCTTGTATCTCAGCTCTTGGGCTTAGTACTGAAAGGGTATTTTTATCCCAAGTAAGTAGTAATTTGTGGAAAGACATCAAGGAAAAGGATAAGCCATTTATTCAGGCTATTAAAGCTGCTTACAAGATTGAATACTCTCGTAGAACCTCAAAGAGATTCGTCCCATATATTAATAAACCCAAAAAATCTCGCAGAAAGTCTAATGTCAGTTATGAATCCGCCGGGGACCATCCGAAACAACGGTTTAAGTCCTATGTCGAGGAATATTTATATTCCAATAATAATGAATTTCCTATCAATTTTACACCTCTCGAGATGCTGTTGTGGGAATTATTTAACATTTATTAAATATTCATTTTATACCACACAGCATAGTCTTTCTTTTATACATCGAATTAAAATATGTATTAGAAATATCTATGATTCAATATGAAGTTTACGCGTAAATTTTAAGATTTAAAATATAAAGTACACTTATAATATGTGTTTCATTTGTGTTAATCGTTTCGTATATATATATATATATCAATTCGCTAAAAGAATTCAATTAACTCACAATATATTGTAATTAAATTTTCAGCGCTGCTATGTCTTTATAATTTATCGAATTAAATATGAATAATAAAGCTATAAGAAAATTAAGATATATAGAATTATAATTAGTTGCATATTCTGTATACTAACATAAAAGTACATCCTGTTTTGTCAAATTTTTAATCAAAAATGTTGGACAACTTGCTAATACGCACAATAGCTATATAATTACAAATTAAAAAAATCCAATTAATTATGTTAGTGCAAACAAATTATTAATGTTGATAGTGGGAATATTATAAATCGGGGTTAAATCGCCACCCAAAAAAGTTTCAGATAATGTGATTATTAATATGAAATTTCAATTTTATTTTTACGAATTATACAATACATGTATTTTACAAAGACATCAGGAAATTTTTTTTTGACGATATATATTGATTATAATCCCCTAGATTTAATCGATATACATCACCCCTACTGGATATAAACGTTAATAATATATAAAAATATATAGCAAAATTTTGTTAAATTTTATCAAACTTTGACATGGATTTTTCAATAACTAACAATTGAAATCAGTTGGAATATTTACTGTATATAGTATCAATAAACATCCATATTGTATAAAAATTTTAGCTAATTATAATTACTAGTTCATGAGAAATTTCTTGTATACAATAGTTAATTTTTTTAAAAAAATTAAATATTATATACAAGCGATTTCTCATAAACTAATATCAAGAAAATCCATATCAAAGTTTGATAAAATTTAATGAAATTTAAAAATAATTATTAATAATTGATAAATATATATATCATTATACAACTATAATCAATATATAGTATTAAGGATATATATTGATATATAGCTAATAATCAATATATATTATAGATAAAAATTGATTATAAATGATTCTAGTGGTTGTACTCAATACAAATCTTCAAAAAAAATTTCCTGCTAGAAGCTGTGCTAAAAATTCTTTACAAAAACTTTTATTGAAAATACTTTTACAAGTTCTTGACCAAACTCAATAAAATTTTTTTATTTATTCAACAAATCTGTAGAATTAAAATAAAAAAATTTTTATTAAATTTGGTCAAAAACTTGTAGTAATATTTTTGATAAAAGTTTTCTACTTCAAAAAATATAAATAACTAAGAAGTTATTATAGATTGTGGCAACTTAATGAAGTGGTCTAGTTGTCCCCCCACCAAGTAGCATATTCAGAGTTTGAATTTTACTAGTAACAAAATTCAAATTTTAGCTATTACTGTGACTATATTAGAAAATTTTTTTGGTGATATATATTAATTATAATCCCCTAAATTATCATCAATATACATCACCCCTACTGGATATAAATGTTAGTAATATATAATGATATATAGCAAAATTTTGTTAAATTTTATCAAACTTTGACATGGATTTTCTCTATAACTAACAATTAAAATTAGTTAAAATTTTTACTATAAATAGTATTAATATACTCTATAAAGTATAAAAATTTTAGCTAATTATAATTACTAGTTCACAAGAAATTGCTTGTATATGATAATTAATTTTTTTAAAAAAATTAACTAAAGTATACAAGCGATTTCTTGTAAACTAGTAATTATAATTAGCTAAAATTTTTATACTTTATAATGTATATTGATACTATCTACTATAAAAATTTTAACTGATTTTAATTATTAGTTATTGAGAAAATGGTTGATAAAATTTAACAAAATTTTATAATAATCATTAATAATTGATAATAATATATATTGTTATATAAATATAATCAATATGTAGTGTTAAAAATATATAGAACCCCCATAGTAAAAAGAGAGAATAGGCCAAAAAATTAGAAATTTTATTCCTATACTAATTTTATTTTTAATCAATCTAATTTTTCAAGATATTGAATTTTTTTAAAAAAAAAATTTTTAGCCTATCTTCTTTTTTTTTTTTTTTTTTTTTTTTTTTTTTTTAAGAGAGGTCTTTCCTTTATTTCTTTATTTCAAAATATATAATTGAATACAACTTGTACAAATTTATACATTTAACAAAAGGGAGTAGAAGTTAGGGCTCAGGTTTACCCTCGACCTATTCTTAGCTAGAACGGTCGAAAACCTCTAGGCTATG